AAAAAAAAAAAAAAAAAAAAGATTTGTAGAATCTTTTCCTATTATATCGTAACAACACATCCTCATGTAATCCCCACGCCCCTTATTTACAGAAAAACCGTTTCAACGGGTCATCACAGTCCCTTTTATGCCTCTTCCAATCTGGAGCGACCGCACCACCGCCAGCGACAAAATCCAAATAATGTTTGATTTATATTCATCTGTAATGGTTCTATTGTAATTTTTGTTAGCTGATTGTATTTTTTGTATTGAAATCAGCGATGAAGATTCTGTAATGTAGTTGAAATAGAACCATCAAACCTTGGGATTTGGTTCAGCAAGAAAAATGTCATCGACATGGAACTCATTGTTGGATGGTGATGGCTCCACAGGTAATTTCTTTAATTTAATCATCATTCACGCATGCCAATTGGTTTCTGTTAATTAAGTGACTTTATATCGTTTCTCGTTAAACATAACAGTCGAAAGAGCCGTAGTTTGGCTGAATCGACTCTTAACATGGGCGATGTTTCGAGTTCCGATTCCGAAGAGGGCACGAGTACGAGCACCGGCGGCACAACGATGGAAAGAATCGTCGAAAAATTGAAGAAGTTCGACTATAAAGACGACATCGATGACGAGAGTGAGGGTACAAAGGGAGTGATCGAAAAGGGGTCGATTGAGGACATATTCCATGTTGAGGAATGAATATTCCCGAATACACGAGGCGGGTTTTCGGAAAAATCCCCGTCGGAGACGAGAATGTGAACTTCCCACGGGAGAAGAAAAGAGCAGCCAATGAAGAGAGAGGGGTAGTGTTGACAGTCGAAAGAGTCGTAGTTTGGCTGAATCGACTCTTAACCCTCTTTTCTCCTCTCTCCCTCTTTTCTCCACAACCCACTCCCACATCCACACCCACACTCTCGTTGCCCCACCGGACGACCACATCCACACCCTCGCGGATTTTTATAGTGGTTTTCAATATTTTTACATAAACCACTATAAAAATCTGTATAAATAATTATAGTGGTTTTCAATAATTTTTGTACAAATTTTTATATAACTGTATATACACAGTGGTTTTTATGATGACATAGTTGTTATACAGAGTGGTTTTCAAGTTTACATAATTGTTATACATAGTGGTTTTCATGTTATATAATTATATACATAGTGGTTTTCATGTTATATAATTGTTATACATAGTGGTTTTCATGTTTATACAGAGTGGTTTTTATGTTTATATAGAGTGGTTTTTATTTAAAAATAATACTGGAAATAAAAAATAAATAAATAAACCATTTTTAAAAAAATGCGAAATTAAGGAAAAATAGAAAAACCTATTGAAAAATACGGAAATATAAAATATGAAAATCCATTGTTTTCTTTGAAATTAAATATAAAAAACTATGAAAATATATAAATAAGAAAAATAATAATTTAAAATAAACAACCGAATTTTTTTTAATAATAATAATATATTTA